TCCCTTACTATGGGTTAAATAACAATTGAAATAACATTCATTCAGGCATTAGGAAGATTGACTTAACATTACAAATGTTAGCAGCATAGGCCTATGTAGAAATGAGTACTACCATTTTGGTTGGATTTAAGATTCTTAATTTTTCCTTTACCACTCTGAATGTTTGCAGGCAAGGCATCCTTCTTCTTCGTTGTTTTTAGGAAACAAGACCAAAATTATTGTTTTTGGATGCTGGTGCACTACCAAATTAAGAATGGGGATAATACTACTAGGATATACCTAGTACAATAATATATGATTATTCCTAACATTATTTCTAACATTTGGAATGGTAAATAAATGTTCCCAATGCCTTAATTAACATAATTTTAATTGTCATTTTACAAAAAATAACAAGAATTACTAACATGGAAGTTGAGAGTGGTATTTTTGTAAAAGGTTTATTACCTAATATTGATACTACTACTGTCATGTTGGCAACAATTTCTGCTTTGAGAGGGCATCTCTACAGTAATTTTAACATAAATGCACTTATCCTTTTCTTGTACTTCTTGTTCATTTGCCTATTTTTGCATGGATGCTGCATAATAGTTTTAAATTATTGTTACTAGTACTAGTATTACCACCACCAAGTTTGCTTTCATGGTCAAGTTGCAGTGGAGGGAGTGCGATCACATGCAATATTGTGATGTGGATGTAGCTAGCATCTTGTTTGCCCATGTACTATGGAACTTGGTTTTACAGATATACTAGTTGATACTCATATTTTGAAACAAGCATMTTTGGTTTTGATTAATTAGATCTCATCTTGCTGCTAGATTGCCTATCAACAAATTATTCCCATGAACACTAGCTACTAGTAGCATAATCTCAATCACCATGGTTATTGGATAGAATTATATTACGTAATCTGATGACATTGGGTTGACAGAAGCCTATCTAGCCAAATGTAAGAAGACGAAAGACATTTTTCACCTACTCATTCCAGCAGAGGAACTCTCCTGACAACACAAAAATATTAGCAGGGATTCTACTGTAATGAAGCACTATATAGGGTAAACCATGAAACGATACTACAAGCGCTCATTGGATACGACAAATCAAATGTCAAAGATATGGTACAGTGTCGAGAATCTGTCATGTAACGCCTGAGAAGTTTCATGGCAACTAAAACGTAAACAAGCACTTTTTTCGCCAACTCCTTTTCCCTCCTTCACATCCACAGAATGTTCCTCACAATGTCGTGCTTTCAAATATCCGCACATTTGCTCCTGCATTGCCGGATACTGTTCCATAGCATATATTGAACGGAAAACTGGAGGTTCCGAAAAGCAATGACAGTACTTCGTTATATTATTGTTCTATTCCAAAAAAATTGAGACTCCATTATTCTCAAAAGAGCCCAATTACGTCGCCTGTTTCGGTATCAATGTCCACATCGTAAAAACCTGGTCGGGTGGGAAGTCCCGGTATGGTCATGATATCTCCACAAATCGGGTAGACGAATCCAGCACCCGCACAGGATCGAATTTCTCGAACGGTGATACGGTGGCCGGTAGGAACACCCTTCGCAGCCGGATCGCAACTGAACGAATATTGAGTCTTTGCGATACAAATGGGCAGAGACCCATAGCCGTTCTTCTCGTAGTTTTCGATTTGTTGGTTGGCCAATTCTGTGTAGTCGACACCATCGGCGCCATAGATTTCTTTGCTGATGGTTTCGATCTTCTCCTTGATGCTGGTATCAAGATTGTACAGAAATTTAAAATTCGATTCATCGTTTTCCTTGCAGGCCTTGTCGACAGCACTGGCCAGATCGGCGGCACCTGCTCCACCGAGGGCCCAGTGGTTCGACAAAACCGCATCGAATGCACCGGCGGCCATGGCAGCCTCCTTGACAACTTCGATCTCGGCATCGGTATCCGTCTTGAACTTGTTCACAGCAACCACGACGTTAACGCCGAACTTTTTGGCATTCTCGATGTGTTTCTGCAGATTCGCACATCCTTTTCGCAGCAATTCGATGTTCTCTTCCGTATATTCTTTTTGAAGAGGTCTGCCGGCGGACACGGGCGGGCCTCCACCATGCATTTTCAAGGCCCGGACGGTCGCAACAATCACGGCCGCTTTGGGTTTCAATCCGCTGTAGCGACACTTGATATTGAAGAATTTTTCCATTCCAATATCCGCCCCGAATCCGGCCTCCGTGACACAGAAACCGTCGGGACCAACCAACTTCAGAGCAATTTCATCGGCCACAACCGACGAGTTTCCGGTGGCAATGTTGGCAAATGGACCCGCGTGGACCAAAACGGGAGTTCGTTCAACAGTTTGCATGAGTGTCGGCATGATAGCATCCTTCATCAGGACTGTCAGGGCTCCGCCACACCCCAAATCGTCGGCAGTAACGGGCTCTCCCTTTCGGGAAAAGCCAACAACCATTGCACCGAGTTTTTCACGCAAGTCGTGGAGAGACTTTGCCAGTGCCAAGGCGGCCATAACTTCCGAGGCAACGGTGATATCGAAACCGGAGGTTCGGTTGTGCTGAACACGCTCGCCCTCCTTCTCTTTGGACTTAACAGTCTCTTTCGCACCCATGCCCACAACCACATTTCGCAAGTGACGATCGCAGGTATCTACAACACGTTGCCACGTGATCGTGTCAGGGTCCAGATCCAGCCGGGCGAAGCGCGACTTTTCTTCCGCCGTAAAGTCTTCGGGGGAACGCCCTTCGTAGGGAATCTCTAGCTTGTCAAGACGTTTTTTTTGTACCTTTGAAAATCCCTTTCCCGCCGGGCACAAGCGTCGAAAGAGTGCCTCGTCACTCTGAGATGCCTCGTGAAACATTCGGGTATCGATTGCTGCCGCCAGCAGGTTGTTAGCAGCAGTGATTGCGTGGATGTCACCTGTAAGGTGAAGGTTGAACTCTTCCATTGGGACAACCTGGGCATAACCTCCTCCGGCTGCCCCTCCCTTGATTCCAAAGGTGGGACCCTGGCTCGGTTGACGGATGCAGGCAATGGTTTTCTTGCCGAGAATTGCTCCGAGGGCCTGCGCGAGTCCAATTGTGGTCGTMGACTTTCCCTCTCCCAGTGGAGTGGGATTGATTCCGGTAACAACTACGTAGTTTCCATCYGGAACGTCTTTCCTGTTCTCTCTTGCGGCGAGAGACACCTTGGCCTTAGCAATTCCCCATGGGATGACTTCGTCGTCGGTAAGTCCAACTCTGTTGCATTGCAGCACGACAAAATATGAGAAAATAAAATTCGACTCACATCGAAACATGCCACCGCTTCATTCGTTACTCACTGGCGTCCAACATCTCGGATAGGCAAAAGGCCAACTTCCTTCACAATTTGCTGCGAGACTTCGATGTCCGAGGGGACTGGAGTGCTACAAGCAAGTTTTGGGTATCCCAGGGCATTCGTCTCTTCGTTGGACATGGTGTTTGCTTTGGACGACCAGGTATAGCTAAATGTACTTAATATTGAATAGAGCAATCGACGCTCCGACAAGAAACAATACTTTCAATGCGGTTCTCACAACAAGCTGCAATGACACAAAAGATTTTTTCGGGGAACACGKTCGCACTCCCGTTCTCGTTCTCGTTCGCGTTCGAACACGTTTGTTGGAAGCAATTTGAAGCTGTAATCTGTAATCTATTGTGTACCGTACGGTACGTACGAGTACGTAGCCATCCGAACCAAACGGTGATGGTATTGTAGAGTACGAGTACGAACTGTACGTACGTACTGGACATCCAACCGTAAACCCAACGGTCAAAACATCTCAGTAACCAGTACCGTATAGTACGAGTACTCGTACTAAGTACTAGTAGTACATACCAGGAGCACTTCCTACTAGTAGCAGTTTATCAGGATTTGATCATGGTCAGCATCAGAAACAACTTTCTTGTAAAGGTCACCAGCATTTTTCTTTTTCAAACAAGATACTTGTTGTACTACTACAAGTTTTTACAAACTTGCTGCCATTTCCAATTGGCGTGTCTACTAAAGAGGAATCTAATTGTAGGCACCAAAATGATTGCTGGTGCTGCTGGTGCAAGACAAATACTAGTATGGTGTTTTATAAACTGCAATGACTACAAAAAAGTGACCAGTCGTGCTTGTTATGGTTCCATTTGTCACAAAATAATTTGTTCAAGCTAGTTTTGTCTTATTTTTCATTCGCGTCTGCACATATGCTATCAGTAAAACTGTACTAGCAAGTGGGTACCACCACTCCATATCATAGACACCCAAACCARCGAATGATGAAATGCGATAAATRATATACGCAATTAAACTACCCACTACAACGTCGAAAAAATGATGAGCCAGTATGTAAATACGCCCTGTACAAGTGAAGAGTAATATAATCCAGGCAGTCATGCTATAACGTGGAGTAATACTACTCAGAGCAATTGCGAAGATTGCGGCCGATGTTGCGTCACCCGATGGGAATGATTCTGTTGCTTGGTTTCTGGCTAGGATATATGACATGCTTGGGAATGCCTTTCTTGTCAACCAAAGATTGCGATCAYAGTTTCTCGTCATATCCACGATGACGGGTCGCACTCTCCGAAAGCTGTGTTTGAAAATGAGGATAATCAAAATCGTCGGTGGCCATAAAAAGAGAAGATATATTGAAATTGAAAAGGCCTTCCCTGACGATGTAGCATACGGATCATCTGCTGGAAGTTGCAAAACCGTATGCCACAGCAAAGCCACATTGAATAGGATTGCGACAAGATAGAGGTGACTATTGGCAAAAACCTTAGTCAAAACTACTTTGTGTCCTTTCAGGAAAAGCCCCCAAGTCATCAAAAAGAAGAAAGTCAACGTCATCGTGATCATTTTGAGTATCTTGACTTTTTGGTGCTGCTGCAGGAACGGTCTTTGCTCCTGAGAGGCAACGCCATCCTCTAATGCCAATACAGCAAGCCACAAGGGAAGCATGGCCAGTGATGGAACCAAACCAAAGAAGTTGGCAGGGACAGAGTAAATAGCTTCCACAACTGGTGGCAAAGAAAGCCGGAATAGAAAGCTCGATACTGATTTGTCGATTTCATCCAGACTGTTCAAAATCTTTCGAGAGTTTGCCATAGTCGCAATAGTTTTCGTCTCCAATTCGGAAGATGAATGGTTGTTGAGTGCGGGAGATGGGGAGACTGCTGGGTGTTCGTTTTCYATTTAGTTTCTTTTTCCAGGGAAACGCGATTTCTGATAAGTCTCTGTGTTCAAGGAAGTGGACGTTGTACTTCAGTTGATTGCCTCATAGGCAAACCTGCAAATCGGTGATTTTAATAGGGTTGCGAGATTGATGGTTGGGTGCAAAAGTGAACAAACGACGCAAGAAGAAGTGATGCTAATTCTTTCACGTCGGTACCGTACGGTAGTTCTCTCGTCCCTCTCAAAAATGTTCTTCCTACCAGTACCAGGTACGGTACCATACCATACGGGTTGAACAACAGTACTGTATTTCATATTTCATACTACTCGTCATGCTCTATTTTGCAACGGCTGCGGCACGTCGAAAAAATCCTTTGCTTGTCAGTATCTTTTACACGGTTTGGTTTAGTGTCACGAAAATCTGAATTAATGAAGAATCATCCCACGACTCAATTAAGTCACGTTAATGACCCGGACAGACCGAAAAGCAGCACGACAATACAATAAAAAATGACAATATTTTTGTTGCTTCGATGATCACAACGAAAAAATGGTAGATGATCTGAGAAGTTCATTACGTACTTCAGTAAAATGAACAGAATCTTCMATTTCTCATGAGAGAAAATCATTTGATTTTGATGATAGATAGCATTTCAAAACGCCGTCGTTTATGGTATTTGTGTACTCAAGGATGGCAATCGATCGAGATAGCTGCGGTTTTCCAACCTAGTTTCAAACGAATTGCCTAGATCAGTTGGCGATGCTGGTGTCAATGACGAATATCCGCAGTGCTTGACGATCCAGTCGAATTCCAAGGCCTCCCGCGCGGACGGTCGCTTCTTCGGATCTCGTTGCAACAAAGTTTCACAAAACTCTCGAGCCGAAGCAGATATTTTTGGTTTCGCTCTCTTGTTGTCTTTKCTGCCTGTGTGATTATAATGTTTGTTATCGTTGTCTTCATTTGGGGCCTTATCGCTGTCATTATTCTTTAAATGGTGTTGTTCCCATACCGTGTCGTCGGAGAAATCCACTTCCATCTCGGGATCCATAAGTTTCTGAACAGTTTCTTCTTCATCTTTTCCTATWACAGGAAGGGTGCCGGTCAACGTCAGAAAGGCCAGTACCCCGATGGACCATATATCGCATTTCGTGGTGTACCCTCCCCCTATTGAATCAAAAAGATCATCCTGTTCTTCGTTGTTGCCAGTTTCTTCGGTTKGTTTTGTTGACGCTATGGAAGATTCTCTCTCGTGTTGTTGGTGGTGGTGAATCAACACTTCTGGGGCAACATAATATGGTGAACCAACCCCACTGGTCATGTAACGAAATTGTTTCGAGTAAGTGTTGGGGTTGTCGTCTTCGATTTCACAGCTAGCTGTTWTTTCTGAGACACCATTCGCATTCAAACTGGGAGACTTTCGTTCTGGGAGGATGGTGCTTGGGACATCTTGCTTGCGTTCATTATCATTTTTTTGGACACGTTTCTCCTTTTCTGGTTCTTTTCCGACGAATTTGCTCAGTCCAAAATCAATGACCCGAAGATTCAAAGAGTTTGGAATAAAAGAGGGTTTCCTCACAAAGACAAAATTAGAGGCCTTCATATCCCGATGACACACACAAGCACGCTCGTGGATCGTCTCGAATGCGGTCAATATTTGAAAGATGACGGTTGCGCATCGGAGTTCGTCGTCGTCGTCGTCGTCGCCACAGTTGTCACCATGGCTGGAAGAAGGCGACAAGGCTTTCCCTCGCAAGCCACGACCGGTCCGCCTGTGCTCCTTTACAACATAATCATAGAGTTCCCCTCCTTGACAGAGTTCTGTAATGATATGAATCGCTGATCGATCTTCGATTACGTCCACCAAGCGAATGACGAAATTGCTGTTGTCTTCATTGTTGTACAATCTCGTTGATGCTGCCTTTTGGCATCGATTTAGGTTGTAGACTTCCTGAAGAAAAAGTGAGCGGTTGTGATGGTTTGATTTCGGAATAGTTTTGCAGGCGTAATAGCAATTGTGGAGTGCGGCGTCCTTTGAAGAAGAATCAACACCGTCGTTATCGATTTTGTTTATGGTGGCATTGGGGAGCAATTTCACACGGCGAACGTAGCCAAAGGATCCCTGTCCAATGATTTCGGGAGATACATCATAGTATTGATATAGATCACGTTGGCAATATTCCGGGAACACCGGGATCGAYGCCAGAGATGGGCGGTTCGTGAGACCCAACGAATAGCAAGCGTCCCAGAAATAGTCCATTCTGCATTCTTTGAAGAAGGTGCAAACTCATGAAGCAGTACACAGCACCGTAC